TGGTAGTGGTAGTGGTAGTAGTATGATGGTACTGCAGCGGTAGTGGTTGTGGTGGTGGTAGTGGTCGCGGCAGTAGGGGTGGTGGCGGCGGCAGCGGTCGTGGTGGTGGTGGCGGAGGCGGTAGCTGGAGGAGGCCGGAGGAGTGAGCGTGACAGGGGCTTGAAGAGCCGGGAGGCTCCATAGCCGGCCATTGGACGGGCTGCCAGCACCCAGCTCCGGAATATCGCAACTCGAGCCAAGGCAGAAGCACCGGCCTGCAGACCGTAGGGTCCTGTGCAAGCTCGCCCCTCTTGTTCTTCCAACTCCCCACCACCGCCCTTTTGACGACATGCTCTTGATGTCCACCCAGCTGAAACCCTTCGGTCTCTTCCTGCTCCAGCTTCTTCTGAAGGCGGCAGAAAAGAAGAGCAAACATGCAGAATGCGCAGAGGCCTTGGCTGCCAAAGTGGTAGGACAAAGGGTACAAATGTCGCGGCGCAGCCGGACTTCTGCAGAATAGCTCTCACGAGCTTCGCGAGGATGTCTAGAAAGGCCCATGGACCCTCTGTTGGGTCAAGTGGCCCGCACCGCGGCGATCTGTTTGGCTTCATATCTTCGCATGATTCTATCTAGACACATCATGCTCAGTTCGTCGGCATGCTTTGCCAAAATCAAAGGCTACAACCAGGCATTGCCAGCTTCTGCAGCTGCACACATCATTTGGGGCCAATGTGGCCCCCACCATCTCGGCAGCTCAGATGTGGAGGATCAGCCTCACAAGTACTCAGAGTCGCACAGAAGATCGTGGATGATGCGTGCGCAGGCTTTCTTGGAATAAACTTTCTTGACACAGTCTGCTGCATAGCATGGCATCGGCACTTGTTCATCGTTGCGGGCTGCGTCGCGATTGAGGTGGATTTGCACCTGTGAAGAAAGACACGGGAGAGCAGATGACTGCCAGCTCGACTGGATGTCATCGACATGGCCTTCACGGCTCCCTGGAGGGTTAAAAGGAATAAAAGGAAAGCACATTGTCCCACACATGCTGTAGCTCACATATGCTGTGCCAAGGAGACAGCTGCTTTAGACTGGGCTGCAGAGTTGAAGCGCTCTTGGGCTAGGATGCCACATGAACTACAATCAAAGCTGCGCCTTGTCTCATGTTGCCTCGCAAGTCCCCCTTGTCAGTCACAGTTTGCCGCTTGCCTGCTGTGTGATGCCCACGCGAGCAAACTCGCAGCAAGCCTAGGTGCTCATGTTGACTTATGTCAAAAACGTATGCCACAAGTTAAAGGCATCGCGCCGTGGACAAGCGGTGAACTTGGAGAATGTTGAAGAAAAAATGCATGCGTATAGGTGAAGGCCCTGACGGCCCTACCTACCTGGCGGACGTGGCACGAATTTAATTACACATCTATTCTGGAAAGGACCCTGAAGACTGAATGCATGCGAATGGGTGAAGGCCCTGAAGGCCCTACCTCTCACGCGGACGTGGTACGAATCTACACATGTATTCCAAGGTGAGGCAAAACATCTCACAGATCGACAGGACACCTGCATTGGAGGCCGTCCTTCTGGAGCTTCTGGATCTCTGCCCGTCGCTCACGTTGTGGCCCGCTTTCTGCATAGCTTCAAACAGCCCTGTGAGCCTCTGAGCCATGAAAAACTAGAAGGAATCGCCACTGTTGACATTGGTCCGGCGACTGTGACTCTACCTCACCGCAACCGTATGTAATTACGCCGTGAAACGCAGGTTGTCATGCGAGCTGCTCGCAGAACTGGCGGGCATCCTCGATGCAGACCGTTGTTGAAGTTGTTGAGCTGCACAGACCCGCGTAGCAGCTGTCTCTTTCAAAAGAAGACGGATTGTGGACGATGCATTGTTATATTTTAATACTGAACATGCACCTTATGTGCATCTCCTCGTAGTCCGCGACTCTTTGCGCACTCACGGCTACACGAGACCCAGTATGTGCAGTGCACTTTTCCGGGTTGTCTTCCGAACAAGCATGTGTACATTCCCTCGGCCCATTCCACTTAGCATCCTCTTTCTTGCCACTTGGTCTTCTAGATTCTGTGGCGACGTGGAGACTAGCTTCAGAAAGCCGTTGAGATTCTTCAGGTGCCAGACGTGCATCTCGTAACCCGGGAAGAGCGCAACACCGACGGGCACGTCACGACAGCGCTCACGAAAGCCGGGCAGGTTCCAAGAGCACTCGGCTTCTGACGGTTCTTTGAAGCTTCCGAGCATCGGCAGCTCTTCGATGACCCCTCGCAGGTGTTCTGGGACACGGACATGGACGCAGGCGCAACTGCCCGGCAAAAAGCAGTCTGCGCTTGCGTCGGACTCCGCCTCCAATGAATGAGGCAGCATGTAGTCCAGTGACTCTAAATCTGACGTTCACACCTGACCGACCTGTGTGGGATCCCGTCTCGTCGCCTTGCTGGCCCTTCGGGGCAATGACGGCAGGATTTCCCGCTCGTCGAACCGAACTTCGGGCTTGTCGAAAGAAGTAATCTTCGTTGAGGTGCAGCCCATGGCTAGAAATGGCGCAAGGGCTGGTTGGGTGCTTGCAGACGGCAAGTTATGGCCGAAACTGCTGCAGCAAAAACTCGAGCGACACTCCAGCACTTGCCCTCAAAGTGCACACGGCTAATTGCTGACATGCTCCTACGATAGAGAGCCTCCCAGCACGTGCCGATGGTCAGGACTGTCGAGCACCTCACATCGCATTCGGCGAATTCGTAGACTCTACACCCAAAGATAAAGGATGCAGGTGCGGTCCGGGCCCCTTGCTGCTCGCATTTCGTCATCGAAGTGCCAACGGCGCTTGTCCAGGTCTGTTTCCTTTCGGCAATTGGGAGCTATGGCAATTGGCAGTGTCCGATACCCAAATCCTTAACTCCTGAAAGCCTGAACCCCATGGAGCAGAGCCCGGGGCTTCTTCCCATCACTTTCTGAACCTTACGCTCTCAATCTCCGAAATCCTTCAGTTTCCCAGGGCCTCCGACCCATTTCACCGAATTTCGAGGCCAAACTTTATTCCATGCGGAACTTTAGCAGGAACTCAAAGGAGATCCAGAATTCAACAAGCTCTTGTCAAGTGGGTGCTTGCTCGGCTGGTTCCATGTCCTCGGCCTGGATCTTGGCACCTGCGCCACAGAATCTGAGATGACAAAAGTGCTTTGCGGGCATTTGCGGTGTCGGGGCTTCCAAGTGCGATGGCAAAGTCTCAGGGATCTGCACAAGGGCCGCAGACCCGACGCTGAACCCGAACGCCGGCCTACGATGGAGAGCCCGTCCATGGTGGCGTAAACGTCGCCAGCCTCGAATGAATGGAGCTTAGGGTTTCATAGGGTGAACGGTAAACTCTTATAAGAACACTGGATAGCGCAGCTTCGGCCACAACCTCCGAAAACCGCTTCAATACTCCACTGTTGGCCGACACATCTTCTATCAAGCAAAGGCCCAAAACGAGAAGACTGTTGGCCTTACTCCAATGACTGAGCCCTGCTGTGTGGACTCCAACTATTCCACCTACAAGCACTACCATCATGCCGGATGCCACGATCTTAATCCTCGTTAATTTTTGGCGGACTTGGCTCATCGCAACAGGCAGCACTCCAGGAGGAGGGTGTGTAAGTGCTGGGTCCAGGCGCCGTTAAACCCCCGCAGCTGAACCCAAAACTGCCTGAAATCCTCATTCAACCGATGCAAACCCAAACCGCAACTTCCCAAAAAACCTCGAACTCCCGAAATCCGAAACTCCCTGAGCCCTAAACCTCAAACTCCCCAAACCCCAAACTGCACGGCACAACTCACAGCTCCCTAAACTCCTAAACCCTAAACCCCCAACTCTCCCAACCCCCAAAGTTTGAAAACTCCCAAACCCCTCAACCCCAACCTCTCTCAACCCTCATCTGCACACAACCTGAAACCCCAAAGTCCCTCAACCCCAAAACCCAAACGGCCGAAACACCAACTCCTCTTACCCCCAAAGATCGCCAGCGCAAACCCTTGACTCCCCTTGAAACCCTGAGCCCAGAAACCTTGGACCCCAAACTCTCTAAACCGAAAACTCCCTAAAACAACCCAAACTCCTCCAGTGGAAACTCCTGAAGCTCCTGAAACCCCAAACTCCCTCAAACCGAAGCAAACTCCCCACATTCTCAGCCCCAACCTAAACCCGAAAACCCTCCTAAGCGTTCTAACCCTCAACCCAGCACTCTGGTTGAAAAGCAAGCTCCGAGACTTTGTTGCGAGGTTGGTTTTCAGACATGTGGCACCCGAGCAGGGACACGAGATCTTAGATCGGATGCCTCAAGTTTACGAACAGCGAACCCAACTTTGAAAAAAATACGCCCCAAAAACACTCCCGACCATAAGATCTGAACCGCCCTAACCCTTGATCCCAGACTCCTCTCTCGCGGCCCCACCTCGTCCAGCATTCGGGCCTCGACAAAAACTTTTCGCTTCTCCTCCAGCGACTTCCGGGGGGGATCTGGTGAATGTAAGTGTGCGTTTCCATGTTTACATGCGTACGTGCGTACATATATACATACCTGCCTACCTACCTACCTACCTACCTACCTACCTCCCTGCCTGCCTGCCTACCTACATACATACATATATGTATGTTGTTACATGTGTACATAAATACATACATTCGTACATTTATTCACTCATACATACATTGTGTTGCAGCTCTTCTCACACCCGGCCTGCTTCGCAACTCTGCCTTCCAAAAGCAGTGTCTGACCGACGCGAACCTCGGCTGAGACTTCGTCCAGGGACTTCAGTGCCAACTTTTAATGCCTCCCTTGCTCCTGGACTTTGTGGACTTCGGCTTTGTGCAGCGAAGGCTCAGGTTTGCTGAGCTTGCAGTTCACCTTAGGGTTTAGGGTTTAAGGCAGTTTAAGGCTCCAAGAGGGAGAAAGAGTGAACTGAGAGGGTCGGAGTCGGGCGCCGGGCCTGCACGGTGGCACCGCTCCAGGGCCCGGTTCCGGCCGCCAGGAAGGCGAGGTGGCCCAGGACGTCGTCCATGGCCTTCAAAACGCTCAAACATGCTCAAACTAAGTCTGGGTCACGTGCTTTGCCACTACACATCGCTACACCTGAGGCCCTCGCAGAGGTCATGGCCTGGAGCTCCGCGAAACTTCCGCTTGCAATGACGACAGACAGCAAACTGGGCTTGGCTGCAAACCATCACCTCTGAGCTCTATCCCAGGCAGCCCTCGACCGAATAGAGCCTAATAAGGCCATGGAAGTCCCCAGGACCTTCCGAGCACCCAAGGTCGCGACCCCACCGTGGCAGATCCCTCGGTGGCTCTCGGCCCCACTGCGAAACTCCACGGGGCCCTGAAGGCAGCAGTGAGACGTAGACTTTTGGGATGAGTCTGCGGCTTGGAAATTGGTTGTCCGTAGCAGTTCCGGAGCTACGGTCTTCTGGGGTTTAGGGAAGTGTGCAGCCTGTGACACTGACGTTGCTGCTGGGACGGGGGGCGGCATTTGTGACGACAGAGGCAAGAACCATTCTGGACGCGCTTTGGCGCTTCGCTCATGCAAGCCCTCATCTGCGGGCCAGGCGCCCGGCAGTGAGCTTCGCCATTCGAGTTCCCGGGCATGGAATCTGTGCCTTCTGTACATAGGCACGGCAGAAGCCACTGGGAAAGCTGTACAAGCCCGAAGCGTCTCGGGACCCTTTCTGGGCATCTTCCGGCATCCGTCACTCACAGAAGGCCCTGAGCCTTAGGCCCAAACGCTGAAAGAGACCCATGGGCTCTGGCTCCCAAGGGTTCCTCTCTGTGGGGTCTGTGGCCCAGGCCTTGCTGAGGTTCCACAAAATCATGGGCTTCAAGAGGTAGTTCCGGGCCAACGCTCTGAGGCCAGTGGCCGTCGCCATCTCCCCCACCTTGGAGCTCTGAGACACCACGTTCTCGCAGTGGGACTTGCGGTTCACTTCGTACAAATGGAGACCCTTCTGGAGCGAGAGGTCTTCATTGAGCAAGATACGGCTCAGGCACCAAGCATCGTGCATAGCCATGTTGGCACCTTGGCCCATGAAGGGCGCTGTGGCATGCGCCGCATCGCCCAGGAGCACGACGCGACCCCGCGCTGAGATCCAGGAGGAGCGGGTCGGCTGCCTGTAGACACCCCAGTCAAAGCAGACATCCGCAGCCTCCGCAGCGCGGCCCAGGACCTCGTGGTCAGGCGCTGCATGTCGGGCCAGGTCGGCAAAGCGCTCCTGGACAATGGAGGCGTCCCAGCGGTCGGAAACTGGCTCCTTGCTTCTCAGGATCACCGCGCAGATGTCGTGCCGGCTTTCTCCCTGCCCAGCGGTCACATCCAGGACAGCGAAGCCTGTGCCATCTTTCTCCATCCAGTGCATATGGGCCATTGTCGGATCCGGGCGAATAGGCTTCGACGAGATGCTGTACAGGATTCGGAAGCCTGTGAAATCCGGCTCGTCTGCACCGAAAACCTTCTGCCTCACGAAGCTGTGGATGCCATCTGCTGCTACGACCAAATCGACGAAGTCCGTTGCTCCATTCTCAAAGGACAGTCTGGCCCCGTCATCGTCCTCCACGACGTCGACCAACCTATGCCCGAGCTTGATGACATCAGCAGGCAAGGACTCCACTAGAATCCTTTGCAGGTCCGTGCGCATGGCAAAGTGGCCCGACACAGCCAAGGAGCCCAGCTTCTCCCCCTGCGCAAAGTAATTCATGCCCTGGCCGCGATTGGAGACCGCATCCAGCTCCTTGCCCAAATTTAGGCGCTTGAGAATCCGAGCACCGGCGGCGAGCGCCAAAGATCCGCCGCGTACCTTCCACTCATCCCAGGCCTCGTAGAGCCGGACCTGACAAACCCGGCCAGCACCGGCCGTCTCCTGCAGAAGGGCCTTGGCCAGGGTAAGGCCTCCAAGCCCTGCGCCGATGATGGCGACCTTCAACTCCGACTTCCGTTCAGCCATAGCTGATGGAGCTCCGGCTCTAAGTATGACTCTTTAGCACGGCGATGATCACAGTGGTGAAACCTGCAACTCGAGCCGCGAGCACTAAACATAGCGAGGGAGGGAGGGTGAGAGAGAGAGAGAGAGAGAGAGAGAGAGAGAGAGAGAGAGAGTCTCTGTGCCCAAAGACCTCCAAGACCAGCTGGCCTACAAACTGGCAGCATGGAAACTCGACAAAAGCTTGAACCCGCCGACCTGCAGGATCTTCTCCTGAGTTCCGGAGGCGTGGAGATGTCGGTGTGCCGTCAAGCTTGGACAGAGGTGCTGACAACACCCGTGTTGTTAACCATCTCTATCATCCCGGAATACCCCCTTGACAACATCAGTGCGTGAGTAGGCTACTGCAGGAGAAACTCCTCAATACAGGTCTGTGGTGCTGCCCAAGCATCCTCTGGGCTGTAGAAGTAGCATGGTATGTACCTCAGGCTGTGCTTGTCATGCTCTTGGATCCGAGGAGGGCAGCGGATCAAGGCATTTACGCCACGAATTGTCACAACGAGTTACTACAGGTGAAAAAACCTGCCAACGATGGCAGGACGAAGAAAGCTGCCTGGTGAGGGGCTAGTTGATGACTCAAGGCGGCTCAGAGCACTGGGGTTCCTGCTTAGCCCCTGTGCTGAGATGCTGGCACTGCGCTGTCCGGACTGTGAATGAGGTCTGAGCCGTGCCAGCCTCGACTCCGACGCCACGGGCCATCCTTTGCAGCAAGAGATGCAGGCGTGGCGTTTGAACGCAGCAACTCCGTCGAGACCCCTAAACCCTACCTTCGAACCCTTTCACTATAGCATGCAACATGATTTCTGCGCCTCCCACTCTCGCATTCGCATTCGAAGATGCGAGGAGCTTTCCTCCAGCCAGCGCAGCCAGGCAGGAAGCTCGTAAGCCTGGAACACAATGAGAAAAAAAAAGCTTCTTGTTTCTTAGCGGCCACCTTCCTACTACGAAGACACAGTGCCGATGAGAAAATAATGGCATGAGCCTGTGACCGACAGCGAAACGCCAACTTCAATGGCAGTCTAAGGCAGTACTGCTGCAATCTCCTTGACAATATCAACCATCCTGCCTTTCGCGCTCGCGCACGCTTGATGCGCACCTGAGATTTTGGCAATGGTACTGCCTGGACCTGCTTAAGGCTGTGTGTGGCAAAACAAAAATCGAACCCAATCTGCCCAAGTCAAGGCACAGCCAGAATCCCCAGCAGTACTGCGCCCGCTCCAGCAGCCACCAGCGCTTGCGGCTTGCTGACTTGCGCCATGGCTACACGCGTGAAAGGTTTGGAACAAGCTCCACATGCATGGGGAGCGAGGAAGTGCGCAGTTCCTCTCGCAGATTTGCAATGGAGAAATGTGGACCAATATGGGTGAAGGATCGAAGAGCATCTAAACCTTCAGCTCGAAATATGTCCACCCTAAATATCGCTCAAAGCCTCTGAGCTGCAGTCTTAAGACACAATGGCTGCAGCACCCAACTCAAAGTCAATCTTCACGTTGCTTTTGTTTGCCCTGCTCATGTGATTTGGGGCCAGATGTTATACCTTGACGTTTCTGTATGCGAGCTCAAAGGCTCCGCACCTGTGACATCACCGAGGTCTGTGCGGTTGATCGCCCCCAGCCCGTGTGTGTTGCCCCAGCCCGGAATAAACCCGAAAACGGAGAGACTCTCGCTTTGCCACCCCTCAGCCAGGAAGCCCCCAAAAGCTTGAGGCCTCATTAACCAACACCGTCCTGGTGCACTTGGAAAATTCATACAAGTTGGGCACACGTACACAAACAGACAAACACACACTTTGGCTCGGCACGAACTGATGCGAAGGAAGACAGACCGGACCAGACGCGACAAAGACAGATTGCAGCAACGGTGCAGGTTCCTGTTCACTGTTTGGCCAACGATAGAAACAACAGCATTTAAGGGTACTTCGGGCTGGCCATGCTTGCAGGTACAGGTGGTTGATCAAACCACCTTGGCACAGGTATCCAAGACGGGCCTGTGCCCCCTGCAAAAAGGAAAGAAAAAGTTGCTCTGCCAGTCGCCATGTACAGGCGTTTACACACACACACACACGCCCTGCGTGGCATGGCTGCCGCAATCCGTTACGCAAATCGAGGGACATGGAATGCACTTGCACTGGCAGACAACACTCTGGTACAACCCTCACTGCCTGAAGCCTGCCTGAGTCGCGTTGCCTAGCCCCA